CTTTTGTCCCCGGTGGTAATCCGCTGGCTCTCAATGCCCCATACCCTGGTATACGGTTTCAAAACAAGGCTGGATTATCACCACTTTTGAGAGTGAAAAATGCTGGTAATGCCCAGCAGCCTGGTCTTTTTTTCGGAATTCGGTCTTTTGTTACAGGGCCCTGTTTCCTTTGTCCGAGTTCGGAGACCCCGGCCACGCATATAAACCATACGGCTTCGATTCCGGAGTCCCCAGCAGGAAGTGGTTAATGTGTAGTGTGCATGAGGCGTAGCTCAGGCAACGTTTAGTGTGTGCGTACTTCAATCGGGGAATCGTTCAACTGAATTGTACTTGAGGGAAAGCAGGAACAGTTCCCGGAGTAGTTTAGAAGGCTAGCACATTTGGCTAATGTGCAGATCCTCGCATGTAAGTCTGCTTGACAGTAAAATAGCAACTGGCATGTGATGACGAATGGACCAGCAACCGTTCGGCTTGTGCGCTCGATCATGAATATGGATAAGGTGCGGTCATATTTTATGTTCTGGGCAGTGATGATCGGATAAATTTAATATTACTAAAAGTCCTGCCTAAAATAATGCTACCAGCGACACTTATACTGTACAGCACTTAATGTTTCAAATAGAACTAGAGCTAAAAACCTGGCATGGACCCAGTCTGGAACCCAGACTACTAATTAACAATTGTTACCAATATATGCCAAATACCGTGAACGCGTTGGCTGGCGGTGACGCAGTCTAGCACCATCTGTCGGTAGAGGTCTGGTGACTCTTGCAAGATGCTACAAGCCTCTGGGTTGACCGCAGCCTCAAGAACGGGGTAAGATAGTAGACACTGAAAAGACAAATTTAAACAGGACAGGATGGATGGGCTGACACAATCCTCAATTTAACCACAATGTTTTAACTGTTTATTACTTTAACCCTAACCCTACATAATACTACAATTACTACTTGTAGTAAAATTTAGCACTGAGCGCTATCGCTTGTAAGAGGACATGACTTTATTGTTCTGTCAAGGCGGTTAGGGTTAACAACGATACAAATACATGGAGCCTTTCCAGTCGAACACAAATGCCAACCTTTGAGGACACTTTAACATGAGCTTGAATGCTAGAAAGCATTTCCAAGCAGTGCATGGAACCTGGTACCCCATTTCAGTAAACAAGGGTGCCAGGGAACCGTAAGAGGAACCCAACTCAAAATTTCAAAGGTAACCAAATGCATTAATTAACTCCATCTAGCCAAAAACACTCCTTGAAAACCAATGGACACAAAAACATGAAATTCGCTTCAGCATTACATGAAACTCAGTTTTAATTTTAAAATTTTCCCACCTAAAAACATTCAGAACATATTCCAATTTTTGAAAGCTCACTGGTCAATTTTTAAAGTTGACTGTTGGTACCTGGCCCCAACTTTGGAACTGATGTCTGACATCAATAGTAAAGTACTTAGATGTAGGCACCTGGGCCCAATGGCATAGCCTTGGTAACCACACAATTCTGCACTTGAGAACGATATTTAGTGTATTTATACAGTGCTAGCACAAGCCATGCCAACCAAGTGTGGGATTTTGCACATGCGCATAACCCAGATTTCCTTGCTGACCTGGGAAACATGCTACGGTTCGCGGACAGTTCTCTGCTGTGGTATGTGATAAATTTTCACCAAATGAAGGAAAAAACCATAAAATTAGGCTCCAATTCTGGTGTATGCACATGAGATCAGGTTTCCCCGTCAACTGCACTAAAACCTCCCCGCACACAAGAACCGTTTAAACCACATGGACCTTGTTCCACACTTTATGGTGTTTCACAGGGCTGCTGGTGACAAGGAATCTAACCATTGCCAACCGAACCTGGTCTCTATCAATTTTATATGGAGCTTCACGTCCCAATTTTGTTAATGCACAAAGAATGTGCTCTTAGCACATAGTATATGGATCATACCCTTATATAGATAAATCCACCCTGGGCAGTGGTGGCATCAGACCCTACCATTTTTTCTTGAGGGGGCAAGCTGAGGGCCAAAAAATAGTTTTTGGAGCAATCAAAATAATATCTGATTTCCAAAGCTAAAAACACAGACTGGCTGAAATAAACAACTAAGGAAAATCATCTCCTGTACGTTGCTACATAATTATAGATTGTTTTAATGGCACAATAAATTATGCCAAGGCAGGGAGTGTTTTATCTTATCAACAACATTAATGCCATAGGACAACCGTATGCACAGACTTTGCCCAATTGGGGACTCTGAACAATAGAGGACAACAAAATCCCCGATTGACAGAGGGTCTCCGATTGACAACTGTGTTCAAAACATATGGGTGGTCTTCTAAAACAGTTACAGTACAAACAAAAGAGGAACAATAGGGGGTCCCCTGTCACAGGCAAATACACACTTGCATGTGTTAAGGGGTGCAGGCTACGAAAAGACTGGGGGGGGGTAACCCCACCTCACATGTCCCCAATAGCATCACCACTAACCTTCAGCGACCAGTGCCTTAATGCCTGTGTGTTTGGTCATTACAAAAAAAGAACTTCCCTGTTTGAGGAATATTAAGTCACCTGTATAGCAAGAAGTACGGACAGCAGACTGTACGATTCCTTCCATGTGTTATAATCATCTAGGAAGTCGACGCAGGGACGACCAGTGTTCATGTCAACTGAAAGCATAGAAACGTAAGGTATCAGGAAGTTATCAGACAATTGGGACATATTGCTGTATTAAGGTTTTGGGTATCAAAAGGGTATCCTCAGGGTATCAAGGAAAAAATACATTAATGGGGATTCTGACTTGATATCTGGAAAAATGTACAGTTGCTATACAAATGGGGCTGTATTACTGACAGCTTTAAAAAAATGAATATTAACACCTAAAAATGACAGAAAATTGGGAGGCTACAATTAAAAACAAATTGTCAAAAATCAGTGACCTTCTCTTCTATGAGGGGACAAAAAATGTTCTGGTTATGAAGTGTCTTCTACTTACTGTTTGGATGAAATGGAATAGTATGGAAATGCACCACTGGTGGAACACTGTTGAAGTGCTCATCAAACCTCAGATTTATCGCAAAAACCCCACCTGAAGGCAAACAAAATGTAAGCAATATTTTCAACTTGATCCATTTGAAGGAGTACACAACTTGTGTGTTTTGTGTCATGGTGTGTACTGGCCTGCTAAGGGGTCAAATAACACCCATAATAATGCTAAAGCTGCCGTTTGTTGACTGGGGATCTAGGGAACTAGTGGAATGAAAGGGAGTAAAGTCAAGTCCTTTTTCACCTCCTTTTGAAGACATGGAAACACTTCAATGAAACAAATGGGCTGCCTCATGAATATGTTAATATTCTTATTGGAAAATACCTTCCCAAATTGTGTCTTTTAGACCTTGGATTGTAGCTACCCATTCAAAGAAATTGTCATCACTCAGTGGTTCTGCTTCAATTCCCTGCAACATAAGAGGAACAGTGATTGAGATTTCTCCATCAAAGTTGAGTAAAAGGGTCAAGGCACGAAACATTCACCTTAATTTACGGTCACATAATTTTTTTGTCTGGGTGGATGAGTCAGTGTTATAATACACACCGGGCAGGGCAAAGAAATCCAAAATTATTTTACATCTCCCCCTGCGCAAATCCATCCTTGAAATAGTTGTTCGCAGTACCCGCTGCTACATCTGATTCGAACCAGCCCGCCCACATCGGCAAGCTCGGTGGTTGAGTGGTTAAGACGTCTGCACTAGTAAGCTGGAGGTCGTGGATTCGAGTCCCACTGGAGTACGCTTGTGGTTTTTTCGCAAGCTTTCGGGGGCATACACTCAGTATACAGTGTTATAATACACTTCAGGCAGGGCAAAAATATCCCAAATTAATTGGATGAGTCCAGTCGAATAGTCAGAAAAATAAGCCCCTTATTAGGCCATATCACAGTACGCTGAAAAAATAATCCTAAAAGAAATGACTTTTGCATAATTCCACTGGTCATCAAGTTGGCGTTAAATGTGGCTTTTTGACTGATACACCCTACATGCCTGAACTCACTTGCGAGAAATGGCAACATTTAAAAAGCAATGTTACAATTATTATCATTACAAGCAAACTATGAATAAACATTCATGTACAAACCCAGGCTGGATCTCGCTGTAAAAGAGTGTACTCCTTCTCCAGTAACATGCGGGCTCGGGAATGCATCTTGGAACGGGGGAAACTGGGAAGCCTACTCTCAAGAAGTATATTACAATATCCGAATGTCTTCAGTTTGCTTAATGTATGCTGAGGCTTAATATCATGATGTGGAGCAGCTCATCCTGTTTATGAATATGGTCAAATACAATATCTTATTACTTCACCTAAAACATCCATCATAAACTTACTAAAATGTATCTCATATAACATGATGCAGTAGTACTAGTACTTAGTAGGCTTCACATAAAACATGAAAAACAATAAGAGTACTTTTTTAATTTGGATATGGTAAATGGTGGGTTTTGTATGTTCAGGCTGAAAAGTTGCACAATCCACAATCTTGGCTGTTGATCTGTGTCCTTGCTCTGTGACATGACTAACACTAGCAACAGTGACACTAAAAGTTGCAATTAGGCCTTCGTGATACCGTACACACAGTCAGTTGGCTTCAGTTCAAAGACAAGCCAAATTTCGGACCGACTAAAAAGAAAGAAAATCCTTGAAACCAAAAGGTACAAACAGGCCTAGGCCAATTTTCATTGTTCAGCATTGTTGAACTCCTGCATGTTCGGTACGTGCTTGCCGCAGCTGGGACATGTATTTGACCATGGACATGATAGAGGTAGAAATAGACACCACGTCCATAATCATGACACTCACATCAGCACATGCAAGACAGGCTTGAACTTGGTGTGTCATCTCTCAAAGATCACCGAAGGAACTAGGCCTAGCACTTCCTGTCTTGTTGATGCACAGATTTAAAAAAATAGGTACAATGAAAAGAATATACATCTGAAGAGAGTTACTTCTCACACAAAAAATGGAGAATGTACCAAACGTCAGCACTGGCCGATACGACGATAGCAACACTTGCAACATTCCTGTTTATAGGATGGCCATTTTGGATCCAAGTAAACTCTATCCCGATCGTTTTGTTAACAGGTGTTGATATATAGGAACATGATGCGTGGCGACTGTTGCTGAGAACGATGTTGAGATCCAAGTACATGTACATGTACATAGCCTCTTGTCATAGGCGAATCTAATGTTTATCCACTGGCGCTAGGGCCGTGGGTCATGAGGCATCTCTCTTTGTAAATGCTTAAATGTTAAATATTGTAATGGAGTCACTGCCAGTTGCTGTCATGGTCCGTATCTTCTCATTTTTAGAGGTCAAAGAAAAATGTAACGCTGCCAGGTGAGTCTGTGCAGGCGCGCCTGCATGCATAACTCAAGCTGAAAATGGGCCCAGGCTTGTGCCTAGTATAGCGCATGCCATGGAAGTCTTCCTTGGGGTTGACGAAACTGCTGTTTCTTGTGTCTCTGCATTCCACTGATTTCCTCTCTTCTGCTAATTTCTTTTCAGAACAGGCCTACATTGTAGGCGTAATTTTTTGTTAAATTTCTGTGTTTCTTTTCTCATGTTTTAATTTTGAGACATTTTTCACAATGGGCCTACTGGTCTAGTACCGGTATTTATTGCTTGCCAAACTTACTTCTAGAAACTAAACCGTAAAAGGTACCCATCTGTCTGTGTGCCCTCGACAATTCTAGTTTCTAGATGTATTGCTTGTCCATGCCCATTGCTCTCAAACTAAGTTGGCAGTTTGGCAGTGACAAAGTTGGGGTGTAACAATCTCATGTAAAAAGTTTAAAGGGAAGGCCGCTTTTGTGAGAAGCGGAATTCTTTAATTTAAAAACATGGAAAAAGAGTAAAACCATCGTTGTCTATAATTATCATCTATAATTTATAAATTTCTTTCAATCATTTTTTTTTGTTTGTGTTTCTAACAAATAATATTTTTTTAGAGTCTGCCGATCATGGTATCATCTTGTGCGTGAGAAGCAGTTATGGAAGTATGTGGACCTGACACCCTTTCGAGTCAACCTCCAGGCAACTTGGAAAATCATTCGCTGTTACTTCACCGATGCCCTCAGGACCCTCCATCTGCGAGGCTTCATGTATTCCATCAAGAAGACGGAGTGCCTCTCTAATGCTGTGCTGAAGGACCTGTGCGAGCGGTGCCCCAATTTGGAGGAGCTACACATTAAGGATGCCCTTCTCACCAACATCGACTCGGGCAACTTGCCGCCAACACTGAAGGTCCTGACACTTCAGCGGTGTGCGACCCCATCTGGCTGGTTTCAATCGGCCGTGGACCAGGGCCGTTTTGGCCAGCTGCAGGTACTCAGCATGTCGTGGAGCACCGGGTTCTGCGACAAAGACCTCATTCATTTGGCCTCGCTTCCCGGAGGGGGCCAACTGGAGAGCCTGGACTTCTCCAACTGCTACCGGATCTCGCACCAGGGTTTCCTGAGCATGGCTGAGAATCTCACCTGCTTGAAGCATCTGCACATCCCCGAGACTAACGTTGAGGATGAAGACATGCATTTCATCTGTCGCCACCTTAAAGAGATGAAGACCCTAACCTTACATGACTGTGAAGCACTGACAGACCTCTGCATAGGATCATTGGCCACTCTCACCAATCTACAACACCTTGACATGAGAGGGAGTGCAATGAAGATCACTGCAGGTGCTCTCATTGGACTGGTGGGAAAACTAAAAAATCTTGAGTGCTTGTGCATATCCGTGTCAGAAGGTCTCACAGAAGCTGATTTGGAACAGATTGCGGGAGTAAATGTCAAGTGTCGCATTATAAGCAACTAGATACTCTTGTCCAAATCAAAGTCTTTCCCAGGATTATTGTCAAAGATCTAACACTGCAAAATACTTGTCCGTGGTTCTTGTTTGATGTACATATATCACATTTCCTGCTTGGTTTTTAACCAATCCGCTGCTTGATAGTCCATTAGATGCTGTAACATGTTCATCATCCATGTCCACAATTGGGCATGTTTGGTATTCCAACAAAACCTGCACAAAATTTAGCTTGGCCAAGGTTATTTGGGAGTAACATTATGCACATGAGGTCTGTCCTATCAGTGCGGGTCCATGCCTTGTTCTGGAAGTTTCCTTTTGAAATACTAAACAAACTAAACTGGCTCATTCATTGAGCAAAATTTACAAAGAAATTTGTGTTACCAGTTCAAATTGACTTCTTCGACATGACATTCAACCTTTTAACTTTTTTAGGACTAGATGTTGAATTGTCTGAACTCTGAAATGTGAAGCCATTCATAAATAGAAAAATCAATATTTGCCAAATGGAAAAAAATAATTCTGCCTTTACATATAATATTGAAGAAATACTTAAATGTGAGATATTCCATGCAGTTAAGTAAGAAATGTGCCATGGGCATAGCTGGGATTTCACTCACACCACACTACCTCACACCATGAGGAAAAGGCTTTTTTGCTGTTTTTGTAATTTTAAGAAGATAATTTAGTGATACATTGTGTTAAATAGATGTACCAGTCATATAATAGCAATAGCATTTATTTTAGTTTTTTACAGGTGATTGATGCAATGTTTATTATAATTGTATTTTAAAAAATCGTGTCATTTATTCCTATTAATGCAATCTTGAATGTAATTTCTATTTTGAGACTGCATTATGATGATCTTTGTCATAGGAATTACAGTATATATACATTTCAGCTGTTTTTGCATTGTCTCAGACATTCAGATCAACTCCATAACTTAAGTTAAACACTGATTTAAATTTAGAAATTGATTAATATTGACAGTGAAAATAAGAATATAGTAAATATAAATAAAACAATTATACATAGATATCTGCTTTGTACATAAGAAGCATCCACTGTTGTCAGTTATAGACCGATTTGTTGAAGCCATTACTGTGGTGTCCCTCGTCACTCATGCGCACACTCCTAAACTTGACGAATGAGTGATGTTGGTTACCAGTGCGCTCCACTGTGCATCTTTTTTGTTCACATGCGTGGGGACACCGCAGTACTAATGGCAACTGATTCTTGTCACTGGATTGGTCTGTGTTCCTCATCTTTCTCTCCTGTTCTGGACATTTTCTTTTTTGGGGGGGGGTTTTCATTTGCAACAACGAGGGCTTCCAGCTTATGTTAGCTTGAGCTAACATATATGTTTGGATATGAAATAAAGCCACCGAGCTACTTTTTTTCATATGTACAAACCTAGACAAACATGTACTACCTTCAGGTCTTGGTGTTTCACATTCAAAATGCAAGAGCACTGTAAAGTTGGATCTTGTTAGCTTCCAATATTTATTTTGGTTTCTCTAAATTTAAGATAAATTGAATAAAATAATTTTCACACTCTTCATCTTATAGACCAAATATCAAGTTTCCCATCTTAATATTTTACAATAATATCCTGGTAATTAATTTTAAGTATCCTAAAATGTCGCAGTCTAGTCTTATTTCTCGTCCGAGCACAGCTGCTGATAGTGATAACACGAAGGAAGGGAAGCATAAAGCGGTGTTTATACCAAAATCGCGGCGCGGCGCCGTACGATCTTTTTTATGTATACGTACTACGTCCATTTTGTACGGCATGCACCACTTGCTGTATCATCGAAAACTTTACATACCGCCACCAAGCGACTGACCATGTAGACTTTTTACCGGATGTAGATTACTCCATTAATACAGGGTAAGGCGAATTACAAGACGTTTGACATTCGAATGACAAAATTATTTTGATTCTTCAAAATTTAAAACAATACCATTATTCCACTTGTTATAAATTCTCAAATTCTTTAAAGTCACATTAAATATCTATTTTTATATTTTCTGCATTGTTTTACAATCTATAGCTTATAATAAAAATCCAAAAACCCTTACAGTAATGGATGTGTCCAAATCAACAACACACATGTCTGGCAGTGACGAGAAGAGCTTGGCATGCCGTGTGTACACTGATTGCTGTGTACATAATGTATGTACACAAAAGTGCACACACGTTGCGAATGCTGAATGCGTAGCATACAGCTGATCAACCGATCTGATCGGGGAAAATTGCGGTGTAATAACGCAGTACAGGAAAGTTTAGGTCGATCGCAACTTTGTTGTCAAGCTGCCGACAGGAGGGGACTTGAATGTCTTGCACAGAGGCCTTGAGACTGAGATTACTGCTTGTGTGAGGAAAAGAGGAACTACAGGCGTGCAATCATTCGGTAGAACCTTCAGTGATTCCGGACTTTGAGAATTCCAGATCCATCTTGCCCAAGGTCTTTCCTGGCGCTCTGCTGGAGCCCGGACATCAAGCGAGATTTGTGAAGTGACTGCACGGGGCTGGTGTGCCGTCGTTGCCCGGGGATCGTTTAACAGCGAACGCGGCATGTTTTGTGGGGCCGGCGATGGGGCAACGAGGTCGTTGCTCAGGAGGTTTTGTGTGGTGGTCGTCCTGTTATGCGTGTGGTCTACACACGGTAAGTACAAACTACGCACATATCTTCAAAAGTAAGTTGATTCATGTTTGAATAGAATTCGTCTTAAAGTGTTGGACATCTGCCTTAGGAGGTAATGAAGTCTTCAAGATTCGAAGTCGGTGTCCTTACTGCCAATGCCTGAATGACGTTTTGCAGTGATACTGATGCTCAGTCTGTTAACTTGACACGTTATTTGTCAATTCAGACCCATAATCTAAATTGAAATTCAAACTCAAAATTGTAGTCTAAAGTAATTCAGACACTTCATAGGATTCAGTTACGAGAGTGCTTTGTCGCCCTTGCACAAAATGATTAAAGATGTTGCACAGTGCCTACACCATACAAATGTGTACTGTATCATGTGCCAAGGCATGCAAGGCGTTAGTCATTGCCTCACCATTGGATTAACGTACCACTGGTCTCCACATTAAAAAGTAGGGGACGGTGGCATGCCTAAAACAGGCATTGCAGATCCTTTGCCCTTCAGGCAAGATGACATGAACGTTGTACTAACACATACATTATACCCTCAGAACTGTGGGGTCCGATGTCCACCCCGCTCCCACATTTGGACCCCACACTTCTGGGGGTATATACATGTACATTATAAACTTGGAAAGGTGAGCTTAAGTGTGGCCTAACTTGTGTCACTTGTCATCTCCTATAATGCCAAACCTGTGTGGGTGCTTGGCTCTG